TCGCTCCCCCTGGAGTTCCAGAGCCCTTGTCTTCTGACTGGGCAATACGGTCGCTAGCAGAGGCCGTCAAACGGGCGGCCCGTTTGAGCTGCCGTCTCCTTCGCGTCCGCTCCCTCTGCTTCTCCAAACGCCTCGAGGTCTGACCGGATGGTGCAGGGGCTGAGTTTCCTCTACCTTCCTAGCTCCTTTCCTGGTCACGACCGTCCAGTTCTGCTCTAGCAGATGTAGGGTGTCCTCAATTTGAGGTGTGGTGGTGCTTTTCTCAAGCACGCATTCCGATTTCTCGGTCTGCATGCGAGTAGCATTGCCCTCTGGTTTCCCATCGGGTGTTGGCGGAACGTTGAACCTGTTGGTGTCCATAGTTCTTGTGTTTAATCTTCATCCAGTCAGCTTCCCACCCTCCTTGGAGCCCGCACATTTGGGAGTGCCCATAGTGGTGCACTAGGATTACCGACTGGATATAGGAGCAGAGAGTTGGTGTCAGGTGCGACATCGGAAGCTCGAAATGTGTGGCTGGTTTACCGGTTCAGAGTACCCCAGTTGTTCCACACACCCTTGCCTCGTCAGCATGACCCTAACCATCCAGAACGGCAAGCCGCCCCGGACCCCTCCACTCCTCGCTGCGGCCCTCTGACGGGACGCGTGACCGTTTCCTCTCTGGCGCTACCCAAAGAGGCTACCGTTTCGGTTGAAATCCGGACCAAAGAGGGCGTGTTGTGTCGCGAAGGTACTACCGCCGACCTCGCTTCACTCAACCCTCCAGGACTCCTTCATCCCCCCTTACGGCGCTCAACTGCGCAGGCCATAGCGCAGGAGAGGCTAATAGTCTACCGGGCCGCCTCCCATTTTCCCGGTAGAGCCGAAGGCCTTTGTTAGGGTCGGCCTTAAGGAGTGACAGGATTCAGGATAAGGGAGGGGTTGACGATTAATTGGAGTTGGAGAGAAGGGAGTGCGGGTCACGGGAAATGTCTCCCTTGATGTTGGAGTGCATCAGTGGGATAGCATCACTAAATTCAGCTACGAGGATCCCAGGGTAGGTGTTAGTGTACGTTGCCTGTTAGCAGATCCAAGTATTACCGGGGTGAACGACGTGGACGTAAGAGTGACACTTGACGGTAGACGTGAATTGCCCAACAACGTACACTTGGGCTCACATCAGCCGCCCCTCCCCCCCAATCGTCGATTATATTCGTAGGTATGAACTTAATAGTTTCACACCTCGCAGGTATGTTGTGACATACTTATTGATTTACATGACTGAGTTAGGGTTAAAATGGCTTTACCATAATCAATTAACGCTAAATATTGTTTTAAAAAGTTATCACCTATTATTCCATCTGCAGAGCATGACAGGTTCTTAAATACGTAAAATTTATGTCTAAAAGTCATACTATTACTACCTAATTCTAAATAAATGTAACCTTCTGATATTAACCTACCGCTAACACCTCTAATAGTTAATTTTTCGGGACAATTTTATTTTTCAAATCACTAAATACCTTAGCTAAATATTCATACTTAATTACACATAAACTGGCACCAGTGTCTATTAATAAATGTGTTACCCTTTCTCCTAAACTAAAAGCTACCGTACTCGAAGTATTATAATTGAGAACTACATGCTCTGTTTTCGTTTGAGGAACGAAAAAACTGACTTTCACTCATGGTTGACTTTGGAGCTCGAGGCTGCCTTACCTCAGTGTCGCAGTACGTATGGTGGACGGACGGGAATAGCCTCGTGTACGGGGCTGATACTGCTCGCCTGGCGCTGACCAGCGCGCGGCCGGGGAGGGTGCACCTCGACCTAGACCGGAACCACGTTGCGGCGCAAACGTGCGCGGCACGCTCACATTATGCGACTGGATCGGGTTACCGTATTGAGCACGCGAGTTACTATAATTATTGGCAATATTTCTACCGCGGAACCCTTTATTAATAAAATGAAATGTTTTCGTGGACTTAGGGTGGTGACAAAAATTCATAACTTGTTCCCCACTGGTGGAAAGCGTCAGCTCGTCTATAGCACTACGGATTACCTCGGGAAGAGAAAGAAATTCCTTTGATGCAATAATAATACTTAATCTAGAGTTCAGTTTCGATATCTTCTTTCTTCAATTTATTTCTATAATTTTTCTTCCTAATTTCGCAGGGTCGCCATGTGGTATGTTGGGTGATGGAGGCAGGTTATAATAAATACAAACACGTAGATAGGTTGGTGTCCATTTATTGAAGAAGCCTTAATAGTACAAAACATACTTATTTATAGTATTAGTGCACTACGTAGTTACACACAATATTATTATAAAACATCAGCATTTCACGTGGCCTACTTTCGTGTCATTCAATGTTGCGTTGTATTATAAATACATATTTATTAAATTATTTTCATACTATCATAAACCCAATGTGTGAAAAAAAACCAAAAAGTTACTTTATACCTCGTACGCTGCAAAAGTCATTGATAATAGGCAAAGTTGTGTACTAAAGTTTTATAGAAGACATCAATATCTACAAAAAAGTTTGCAATACCACATGTCTTACTATAACAGTTATGTCCCAACTCGAGATCGCTTGAGGTTTACCCGCGTTAATTTAAGGAAAAAGGTTATAGTGATCAAACTTATAGGATACTAATATGCTGTCGCGGACTTTTTTTATAGAACTTTTAAAGGGCAAAAATTCAGTCATACATGATTTTTGTGTTACCTGAACCGTTTACCCAGCGCACGCAACGATAGCTCACAAATGCAATATTTTTACCCATTTATGCAACATTTTTCATCGATACTCCGCTCTTCATGGTCCTAGCGTGACAAATCAAAATGTGCTGATTTCTATGATCGAATCACATTAGAAACATCCGACGCGATGTTTAGTGCAATAATTATGAGTGATAAAAGTGATAGATGTGCACAAACCACTGCGTCACTTTAATAATATGGGCATGAACTAATAATGGTTTAACAATCTAATTTTAACAGCAGAACAATGGTGTATTCTATACTACGCAACAAAATTTTCACTATCTTCACGCAAGGTTTATAATTATATGAAGAAAGTCATTGTGTATAATACAAGCCTAAGAACAAAAACTATAGTCTACTTTATAGCTCTACACCGAAGCGAAGCGAGGGCGGGCCACTTGTTAAAAAATAAAAGTAGACTTCACTTCCAGACACATCTATCTGAAGTATATAATGATTAAAAAGTTATTTTACGATACAGCTCGCAGTACTGTAATGAGTTTTATTTTTAAATTTACGTATGTGCGCTTATAAATTATGTATTTTTAAAACCATTTTGTATTTTGAGTGTAGATAAAATAATATTAATAGCCTCAATATTGTCTCCGAATATCACAACCGCTGCGCAAAGAGGAATGTCCCAAGTGCACGTTCTATTGATTCTCCCATTTGCATCAGCAATTATATCCGCATTGCTTTTATCGAGTGACAGGTGGGATTACGCGATGATCAACCGCTATGAACTAATTGACAACTGTCGACCGGGATTGACCTCAATCAATCACGATGACCAGAAATGTCGACACTTCAGTTTCGGAACAGGCGGTTGAAATTAAATTAAATTGATGATATGAATAGTCCACATACGAGTATTTTATTGTACGTGCTGAGGATCAAGCTGATATTACCTTTATCCATAATTATATGCAAGTAATAAATTTAACATCATGTGAAAAAGTAACTATTAGCTACAATATTCATCAATAAAGTAGGAAAATTGTTTAATTGTAACACACAAATTATTACTGCAACTTTGTTTAAGTGGCATCCAGCAAGGGATGGCAAATAACAATATTAGAAATAATAATGTCAATAAAACTTCATTCGCATGGTCGCAAAAACAGGGTTATCGTAGTCTACTTATCTTGCATTTCTAATTCCGCGTGTATTTGTCAAAAAATTCAGAACTGGAGCTTTACTCTCTTTCTCCGAAACGAAATTTCGGTAACGAACGAATTTTAAACGAAATTTCGCCATTGACTCTACTCTATTTCATTTTCGAACAGGCACATTAATTTCGGAACCATAAACAGTTTTCGTGAACGAATGGAATGAGTCATGTTTGTGAATTCTTTTTATGTCTACTTTTAAAAAAGGTTTTTTTACTTGAAAACAATATAGGTAGTTTACGGCAAATTTTTTGATGACATTGAAAGAACCTTCTTTGACAGTGTTAGCTGACTAATTTGTAGAGTTGATACAATCTACTGTATGCCAACCTAAATTTGTCGTTTAATACTTTGAAGTATCGAAATTACAATAAATAAAAAAAAATGGTTTATTTGTTAATTTTACATGCTACAAATGTTTCTCTAGCTAAACAGCTATTACTAAAAATAATCTTGCAAGTATTTTAGGCTTAATTAAAACGAAAATATCAAAACGAAAATGAAAAGGTAACACTTTTCATTTCGTCAATTTGAGGTTAAAATTTCGAACAATTATCTCAATATCTCAAATTCGACTTTTCCTTCTGTGAATTAGAGTAGGCTTGGAGAATTTAATTGTCAAACTATTTCGGACGAACGAATTTTCGAAATGAAAAGGAAACAGAGTAAGGAACGTGCGAAATTTCGATCGAAATTTCGTTTTTCGTTGAAATAGAGTAGGCCTCCTGTTTATGTTTGTTCGGGCATACAAAGAGAGAGCTGTGGCACGGTAATATTACCGTGGCTATGGTGCTAATGCGCCGGCCAATCGGCACCAAATACTACATATCTATTTTGGCCAACCAGCGGCACACCTCTCTCGATACATCAATCCGACACCAAACTTGGACCATCTCGGACTAATTACAGTGAATGGATTCCAAATCTGAATTAATGTAGCGTATGGCTTGCCTGATGGTAACCGGTGACTTTAGCCTTTAGATGCTTATTATACCAGAGCATCTAAGTACCTTACATAGTCTATCCCTACAATATGATAATCCCATGCATTGTTGGATTTTTTTCATAAATGTGTTATTATCAACAGGGACAGCTTACTCTAACATGTACGGAATCTACTGCATGGTTATATTTTTCACAACCACTATATCTCTCTATGGAGCCTTATCTGAAATCTTAGACAGAGGCCTCAGCTACAAGGAGATGGGGCTTTTTGTCATAGTGGGGTATTGTATGACGTTACTGTTCATAATCTGCAATGAAGCCTATCATGCAACTCGAAAGGTACTTTACTTATAATAAACATATGTATGTCTTGGTGTTACTTTTTTTAATGTGTTTCTCACTATGTTTATTCTAAGACACAAAATTTTTGTTGAAGATTTGGTATTTAAGTTTTAATAATGATGTCTGTATTTGGAACGAAGTTCCTTTTCGGACGGTATGGCGGGTGTGGGCTAGAAGAAAAATATGTATTTTTTCCCCGTCGCTACCAAGCGAGGCAGCTATGTGGGCGACCACTGATGGCAGTGGCTGTGGACTTGGTTTAAAGTTTTGGGCCGGGAGCGGTGAGTGATAGATAGGGAGCGGTGAGTAATGAACCAGGAGCGGTGGCGATAGACCGGGAGAGGTGTGTGATGGCGCGGGTGCGGTGACGATAAACGGAAGTAGTACGTGAAAGACCGGGCGATGAAACGGGTGCGGTGCGGGATGGACTGGGAGCGATGGCGACGGACCAGAAGCGGTGAGTTATGGACCGTGAGCGGTGTTTTTTTTTTAATTCCGTTTCAATCGAGTGTTCCACGTAAGAGACTTACGCAATTTTTTTATTTTTTTTTAATGTCTGGAAACTGCTTTACGCATTCTCCGCACACCGGGAGAAGCGAAGCGGAGTTATCCGGGATTCTCATTTTACCAATCATGGTGACTTGATGAAATGAATAGAGCCCTACCTAACGGTAAAAATCAGACAATACTCCTGCACCTGTCCGCTGACACGTATCCCGAGGACCGCCGGTGTTTGTCCGTTACCGGACTCTACGCGATGTGCGGTTCCCGGAGTAAAAAGGGCACCCACTCATTACAGGAGCCGTACAATGTTGTATGACACTCCCACACCAGATCACTGGCCCCCGGAGGAGCGAGAGGGGAAGCTTACTTCTCCCCGTCCCTCTCCCCTCGCCATCAGCATATGAGCTGTCACATCCCTTCCCCGGGCCTCTACGGCTCCCATTCCCCTCTCCTAGAAGAGATTTTGCCTAATGTTTTTCATTGTTCACGCAAAAAATACTAATGGCAATTGAAGCTATATTAAAAATTCCAAATATTCTGAAAATTAATATCATTAGTGAATCTTTGTCCAGTTATGAAAATCATATTACCGTGTTCTATAATGTTATTACTTCGTTTTTGTATCCATACTGACTAAAAATGTTGATGATATTAAGCAAATTCTGGAACGAACTGCCCTCTTTGGTTTACTCTTTCGGCCTTACCTTTACCTTTATAATATAATGGTCTTCGAAATGCAGGTAAACATATTATTTTTTCAGAGCCGACAACGCATGAATGATTACCCATGGTACTGCAATGTTCATGGACGGCAGAGATCACTTACAATCTGGTAGACTGTTATCTTGCCAGCATAAACATAACAATATATAATCCTTGTTGCTGTTTGTTGGAGGAGTTTCATGGTGCAGGTGGTCAGCACATTCGACCTGCGACCGTGGTAGTTAAGCAACTTTCGTAATGATCAGTCATTGGATTGGTGCTTCTGAAGGCACGTTAAGCTGTTGATCCTAGCTGCATCCGCGTGGTGGATTATAGACCAATCTCCCTATTCCATCCATAGGGAAGGCTTCTGACCCAGCAGAGGGGACATTAATAAGTTGTGATGATGTTGCTATTTTAGGTGGGTTTTGAGTTTGCTCTTCGACTTTTAAATGTGAATCTTGCTACCATCGACCGGAGCACCCAGCGAGAGGTTGAGATGTTCCTGGTGGCCATCGCCAAGAACCCGCCCATCATGAACCTTGACGGCTTCACCGACATCAACCGGGAATTATTCGCAGCAGTTAGTTATTGTTAGTTATATTAATAAGCTAAGTTTCCATCGCACTTCGAACTTTTTTCACGAGAAATCACAAGGAAAATCTGCTACACCCTACCGTAGCAGATTTTCCGAAGAGTAATAGGTGAGGCCCTTATGATCATAGCATATGCATGATGGATCGGGAGCGGTGGCAATAGACCGGAAGCGGTGTGTGGATAAACACATGCACAAGCACATGCACAGCATAAACTTTTTACTCCACCACAAGAAGTAAGCCAAAGTAGATTCTCCCAAGTGAGGTAGCATAGCGGATTTCCCGCTCTAATTAGAGCGCCCGTCTGGCAAAGTAACCTCCACTTTACAGAAGATATAATTTTGCAAAAGCTTTCTTCATAGAACAACACGAAATCCTAGCCGTGTCCGTGTTGCTCTATGGCTTCTTTGGAACTCAGATCACAAAAAATTGTCATCAAATTTTACTAAATTCAGCTAGCTCGAGCTATACAGTAACAATGATAAAGTATTTTACACATGAATCCAGGTCAAATTATCAAATTATCATGAATCTAAAGCGTTCTTATATCATAGCTTAAATATTTGTTTGCTTTTTCAGAACATTTCCTTCATGTCAACTTATTTGATAGTGCTCATGCAATTCAAGTTAACGCTTTTACGACAGGGAGCTAGAAAGACAATCAAAGCAGTTGTCAAAAGTTTGTTAAATACAACGGCCATAATGCCCGATGAAGAAAGTGAAGATGACGAAGATGATGAAGAATAAAATAATACTTATTAATCATATTGTTTAAATAATGGACCTGTTAAATTATATTGTTTTCGTTCGATCTCAACAATTCCTTCATTATGGAGCATAGGTCTTCCCTTACAATAGAACAGGGAGAACGGGATATCATTCTTAGCCTTTATATGAAAAAATAACATCTTTGCTCTTACATCATTGCCATGACATTTACTGAGCCAGAGACTTCCACCGTCGCTGCTCGATTTCTAAATTATTTTTTTTCAATTTTTGTATGAATTGTGAATTGTCACAGTATGTGTTTACATCAAACAGCTTATATCCCAAAATGGAGCTCGTAATACTGAACAAAATTTGACAACTGGACTTACTCATTCTGGGGCGCTGCAAAAATAATGGACATTTCTTTATTCTTTTCTCATCAACCAAAATATTATAAAAATTAAGCAAGTCAAAGGTTGGACTGGGGTCTCGTGACGTCACTTGTAAATAAAAATGGTAGCAGGTCGTGCCTTCATATGACTTTTTAAATTAATACAATTCTGTAATGTTTTAAAAAATACATGTCAAATATTTTTTGATAATTTACCTGATAGACGAAGAAAAGAAAGTAAGCCATCATCCCCATTAAACTGTGGAGCCTCACTTCACGGTGACAAAGGAAAAAGCTTAACGCCTACCTTGTGGGAAAATGTAAAAACACTTGTTACGAATATATACTTACTAGCCCTCCCGTAGGTCTCAGCGGAGGTAGCCTTTGAAAACTTAAAATAAATCCATAAAAGTTACGCAACCGCGCGTCTACGAACAGAACCAAACAATGTTATTCTTTTACGAAACTTATTTCAGTTTATGTAACACTCGCAAACAATCTAATGAAAGTGGGCTATTCCATAAACTCTTTACTTAACATTGTTGTGATAGTTCGCTCGGGTAGTTTCTTTGGATCGACGCAACCGTAAATAGAACTGCTAACCCCGCGAGATTGCTTCCAAATAACAGTGTTGTTAAATTGGCACTTTGGCATTGTGAAATTGAAGCTTCATATCACACGGCCTTTTTTCTAAATTAAATCCATCTTGTTTATCTATTGATTTACTAATGTGTAGCACACAATAAAATAAGATTAAAAAAACAGAAACAAGAGATTTGAACAAGATACAGTAGAAAGATAAGTGCTTAAAGACCTCCGTGGTCGAGTGGTTTGTATGCCGGGTTTCATGGTGTCGCCGACTCGAGAGGTTCGAATCCCGGTGGGGGCAGATGTTTGTGCCATGAATACGAGCATTTGTACTTCAATGTTGGATGTTGAATATGTATTTATACATAAATATATTTATATATGTACTGTTTATGTATTCTATCCGTTACTCTAGTATCCCTTAACACAAGCCTTACAGTGCATACTTTGGGGCTAGACTAATAGGTGTGAGTGTTGGAAATATTTATATTTATTTATTTATTTTTATTTACAGTACAGTTCTAGGTTAGCACGAGAAAAATATTCAAAATTATCCTATCCTTTTTGAATATGATTTGTAATCCGCGCAGATCCAATCATGGGTGGAAAAAATATTAAAACATAAATATAAATTTTATTATGATGGACATTATTTTTTTAATAATATCAACATTAAATTGGTATTATTAGTATTTAATTGAGAAATAGATGGACATATTGTTTTATATTATCATGAACAAGTGAACAATATTTGTTCCTTTATACTAGTACACATATATATTAAAATAAGCCAAAACTGAGGAAAAAATAATAGTCATTTTTACTTCTTTACATAAAAACATATTTATATTTCCCTAAGGACACGCCATAACTTGAAAACAACTTTACCGATTTCATAAATCTTTTTTTTAAAGTTTGTTTATGCTTTTGTAGTACTTACAAAGAAAAAATTAAGAAAGTTTTTACGAAACTAAAGCACGCGGAAGCTGCGGAAGTAGCAAATAAATTTTAGATTACTGTCCATAATGGCGCAATTACATTTAGGCCTGTATTACAGAAAGATTCTCAGTGATTGATCTAGTCTTGAGCATAGTTAGAAAGGGATGTCGCTATATATAGCACATAGCGACATCCCTTACTAACTGTACTCAAGTAAAGATCAACAATCAATTAGTTGTCATTCTGTAATACGGACCTTAGTGGTTAACCTGTATACGGGTGCACGACAGCCCTTATTCGAATTCGGGCACCCGAAGCAATATTTATACTGGAATATGGGCTGGAAGATGGTGTCGGGTGAACAAAACGAAAACTCCTGAATACGGGCGTACTCGACTCCGTTCATTTACACTTAGTCGTTTACCCGAAATTCATTGGCACTCGTATTCGGGCTAACGACCAAGTGTAATCGCGCCATAAATGAAAATAAATCTAAGATTCTTTTTATCACTGAGTTTCTAAACAATGAAATTTTATGTTACCACGGCCCTCGACGTGGCCATCAGGGCCGTGGTAGCATAATTGGTCAGTGCATTCGCCCGGATTGCGAAGTGTGCGGGCTCGAGTCCCGTCCGCTGCCTGGTTCGCGTGGATTTTTTTCTAGTAAAACTTTTCTTTAGATTTAAACATCTAGCAGTTAAATGCTTAAAAAAATAAAAACATAACAATGAAATTTTGTTTACAATATTTGATAGCGTAAGTCTCAAAAGATATGCCCTCAAGCATTATTAGAATGATAAAAATCTCTTAGTGCTTGATACATTCCGTATCTAAAAAGTGATACGTAGTTTCTCAAATAATAAATGGAGTTTCACTACTTTCTCACTATAAAATATAGAAATGCTTTCCATTTTCCAGCGATACTAAATCCCCACATTATGTAAGATGGATATTGTCGCGCAAGCTCTGCAGAATCACTAGGGACACTAAAAATGATTGAGATTGAACCGAGATAAGATAAAAGTTCAATGGATATATTTCAGGCTGGGCTTTTAAAAATATCAACTTCAAAACTGTAATTGCTGTCAAGAGATACTAACGGCGAGAGCAACCTAAAACTGATCATTGGTAGAGTGCAAAATATGGTTCGATGGCGCGGGGAGATTATGAGAGGAGCTCGATGGCGCGGGTGGTTAGCGCGAACGGCTGCGATCGTTGAAGTTAAGCATCTTTCGCAGTGGTTGGTCATTGGATGGGTGACCAAAAATCTTCTCTCTCTCATCTCGAGTTCCTCCGTGCTTCAGAAGGCACGTTAAGCCGTTGGTCTCGGCTGCATCTGCAGTCGTTAGCACCCGCCAATCCGCACTGGGCTCGCGTTGTAGGTCATGGCCTAATCTCCCTATTCCATCTATAGGGAAGGCCTGTGCCTCAGCAGTGGGGACATTAATAGGCTGATGATGATGGTGATGTTGAAAATATGGTTCAGTTTTCTTATATAAAATTATGGTTTAATGCTGAGTATTTGTAAGTACCCTACATTGAGTAAGTAATCCCTCTATTTTCAGTATCTACTTTTTTATTTTTAGGATTCCGTAGCCAAATGGCAAAAAAACGGAACCCTTATAGATTCGTCATGTCCGTCCGTCTGTCCGTCCGTATGTCACAGCCACTTTTTTTTCTTTCTTTGATCTTAAAATTAGTTAAGTTTAAATTTTCAATATATTTCTGAGTAATTTTTAATCAACATTTCTTTTCTGCATGATTAGCAATCTATTTTTTTTTATAAATACCATGCACAAAAACGTAGATATGTTTAAAGAGCTTAGAGCTGAAACCGTCGCATTAATAATAGTTAAATAAAGAATCTGTTTATTTTTCTCTTAAAATTGCTATGACTCCTTAATTTATGGATAGGTATCTAATAAAATAAAATATAAAATAAAATACTTAAAATTACTGGGTGACCAAGTTATATTGAAAAACAAAAAAAACTGCAAAATTTCTTAGTACATACTAAATTCGTTTACAGAAATCAGATCAGAGATTCATTCGAAATTTCAAAGTTCAATTGCATGAAAAATTCAAATGTCTACGGAATATCAAATCAAAGTTAATTGCTGCCCCTCTGTTCTATATTCCACAATATCATTTGAAATGCTACCGATTTATGGTTTCATAAAAAGATTTTTGTATTCTGTTAGGTAATGGAAATATAAAACAAAGAAACAGGATATGCAAGACACGTGTTGAAGTTATTCTGTTTTATTAAAGATCACTACTATACTTTTTATGTAAAATTACAAAATCTAGAAAACTGACTGCTCAAAAATTATCTGAAATGAAAAAACTAGCCGAGTAGTCTAGAATTATGTTATATAAAATTAAACAACATAAAGTCTAATGTACAATAAAGCTACTTAAACAGTCAGAACCTACTGGATGTTCTAGACATAATTAAATTTTCCCAATAATGGATCCCGTCTGTTAAAGTAGTTTTGGTCCGCATCATCATCATCATATCAGCTGGTCGTCGCCTACTGCTGAACATAGGCATCCCCGAAGGCACTCCACACCAATTGATTTCGTGCCAATCGCATCCAGCGGCTTCCCGCAGCGGAGTCACAAGATCGTCAGTCCATCTGGTTTTTGGATTTTTTATTTTCGATATCTTAGTTTCAAAAATTTTTTTAACTATATAAGTTGTATATTAATTTACTTCTGAATTGTCTTTTAAAATCCTTCACTTTGATTCCCCGCTTGATGAATTAAAAGCATTTTATTTCACATGATTGATTGGCGGCAAAAATCTGAAGTTTTGATTTTTTTGAAATTTTTAATAGTGATTGTGTAAGTGATAACTCACATAATCACGACAAATCAAGTGGCACTTCGCATATCTTAATCCGGCAAGCCGTTCGATTACACACGCCTGAAAAATACCTATTACCTGCTGTCTGGTAAAAAGGGCTGGAAAAGTATAATAGTGGTCATCGACCGTCAGAGCATCATTCGTGAGTATACCCTGTCATCATTTCGTACCCCATGGAGCCGTCGCACAAAGTAAAGCGATGGCGGGCATCCGAGGTCCGGGAACTCTAAGAAACACTCATCTCCTTGATCT